AGCCGGTCGAATGTCCGCAACCGACAGTTCAGGCAACTCCTCCCTCTTAGCACGCAGGTTGACGCACTCGACTCCTTTGAAGACCTTGGCGGCGATGAAGCTGGGAGAAGACCGCACCTTCTGCCACGCGTCAGCCCTGTAGTCCATGACCTCATTGGGAGAGGAATGACCGCCGTGAGTGTGACAATCTCGCCAGGCTTGTCGACGGTGCCTCTCGCGTATCTGTGGAGCGCACCTGGCGTGGACTTCCACATCTTGGTAGCCCGCGATTGGAAGCCTCTCTTAGCCTCCGCCAGCGCCCTACCAATCGTGCGATTCTTGAACCGCTCAGAAATGTCGCGTAAAACATCGTAGTCCTCGTGCTCTCACTCCGTAACCACCGCCATCATGCCCTTCCACTGAGTCAACGCATCCTCCACATGAAAGCCGCGGTGCAAGTCCTTCGACTCCGCCACCTGCATCAGCCCCTCAAGTTTACTGTAGGCCGTCCCCAAATCTGCGCTCGTGAGGCGCGCGCGCCCGTGCGAGACAGCGGCGACTCGCCGTTGGCCCGCAGCTCGTAACAGGCGAGCATGAAATAATAACGCAATGCAAACCCTCCACCACTCGCTCCGAGGATCTCGAAGGTGCGGTCGATCGGGGGTCGCCCGAGTTTGCTCACAGGACTCCTTATGTCCAGCGCCCCGTCCTCGTATTCTATCTGTCTCAGCCGCAGGCAGATCCTGGCGAAGCATCGTCGCCTCCTCCACCGAGGCGACCCAGGTCTCGTAGATCGAGGCGATCTCGCCCCGAAGAGCCTGGTCCCTATCCAAGAGGAAGTGCGGGGTGGGAACCCACCTCCCCCCTCGGCATAATGCCTGGGCCTGCTTCCAGTGCTCGGCGCCGATGGCGAACGCGACGCCGGACTCCGAGACCGACGGCTCGCGGTTGAGCCCCTCGAAGGTCTCCTGTAGATGCTCCTCCAGCCTCTCAAGCCTCTTCCTCTTGGCCTCCGGCAGCTTCTTCTGCCTCTTACTCTCGGGGCCGGGCCTGGTCGTTGGCCTCGGCGCAGTGGGCGAAGCCTTCGCTGTAATCATGATCCTGTTCCGCCAGCCCGATTTGCCATCCTTAACGTGAATGCGAAGGCCCACCTGAGTGCGCCAAGTAACCTCAGGAACTATCTTGAGCAACAGCGGGTCCGCCAGGCCGACCTTAGCGATGACGTACTCGATGAATGAGCCTCTGCCTCGAGTGCATGTCACTTCTCCGTTGCACGGGGCTAGCAGTTGACCTCCAACTTTCGTGGGCCACTTCGTCGCTGCCCACTCACTCGGCCTCGCATTCCAATCTCCCATCAAATCCATGGACCCTTTACCTGTCGCAAAAAGGGCGCACTTCGCATCAACGCCTGCTCATTGGCGCCTCCAAACTTCAAACCTGGAAGTAAGTAGCAGGAGACCACCACAATATTCCCAACTCTCGTATGCCAAAAGATGGGACAGAAGCCTTTGGAACAATCTTCGCCTGTTCGAAATCGCTCCGCTTATCGTGGGCCCTCGAAAGATGTCGTCGCCGTGCGCTTCTGCATGATGATCCATTCGCCTCCTGTAGTACCACTCTGAGATCGACCCGTAGCCGTAGCCTCCGCAGCCACGACCTTCCAGCCGTCCTTACTGAGATCTGCCTTCGCCGCCGACAGCCGTGAGCCCGACATGTGTGTTTCCGAAATTCCTATCATGCCATGCTCCTTCGCCTGGGCTTGCATGCAAAGGACTTGGCCACAGGTCCCCATTCCGACATGTCACTGGAGAAAACCTTACTGGAGTGAGTGTCCGTAGAGTGCCTGGTGTAACTGTTGTACTGGTACTGGGATCGCTCGTGAACTTGCCCTGGGTGGTGTCACCCCCGAGAATGGGGCTGCGCCTGAAGCAGAAGAAGCAGAGCCGCTGCTAGGAGCACCCTTGCCGCCAGCCTTAGCTTTCTCCACGATCTTCTTGCGCTCCGTTTCCAGGACAGCCGCTCTCTCGGCCTCTGCGGCAGCCATGACCTCGGCCGTGCTTCTCCGGCTCGGGGTCCTGCGACGGGGAGCCGTGCTTCTCTGGCTCGGGGTCCTTGGCAGCCGCTGGCGCCGCCACTGCACCTGAACCTCTGGCAGCCTGACCGCTCTCATCCACTCGCTGCCTCTTCGTGGCCCCCGAGCGGATGTCCTTGACCCTGGCGAAGTGCTCGTGCACCGCCGCCTGGATCGCCGCCACCTGCTCGCATTTCTTCTTGATGATGGCCTTCAGCTCGCGCAGCTTCTCCTGCTCGTCCTCGCCGTAGGCCGAGACATCCTTGAACAGGTCGTCATCGACTGCGAAGACCACGCGCTTGCCGTCGGAGGTGTAGCCCTGGGGAACACGCTTGATGTCCGCCTCCTCAGCCACGAGAGCCACGGCCTCCGCGTGTTTCGCCTTCGCCACTGCGTGGTCCAGCGCTGCCTGCTTAGCCGTAGCCGTAGCAGACGCCAGCCTGGCCTCGGCCTCAGCCTCCGCCTTGGTGGCCCGATGCGTCGCCTCCTCCTTTGCCCTGAGCTCCTTGGCGGTCTTCGCGTACCGCTCCTGAGCTGTCGGGACTCGGACCTGGCTCTCTTGGAACTTCTCCTGAGCGCGCTGCAGTGGGGCATCTCCTTGGCGAACTGCGGGAACTGCGCCAACTGCTCCAGCAACGCCTGCGGATCAGGAGATGCCTCCGCAGGAGCTGACCAGGCACTCCATGACCGCGCTGGTGAGCGCGGGGCGCCACCTCACGCCCGCACTTCGCACACATACCACTATTGCGCAGGATGCGGAAGTTGTAAGCCGAATTCCCGCATGAGCAGACACTGAAACCGCCTATCCTCGCCATCTTGGTGGAGAGAAAAATTCCTGAAGCAGGGCGGGCGAACGCCCCGCAGGAAGAGAGAACGGATGGGGCCGCGCGTCCCCTGCCAGCTCAAACTTGAGCCAAAATGGATACGGAGGAGGAGGAGGAGAAGGAGGAAAGGGAGGAGGAGGAGGAGAACAAGGAGGAAAAGGAGGAAGAGGACGAGGAGGAAAAGGAAATTGAGGAGGAGGAGGAGGAGGAGGATCGGCGCAAAACCAAGAGCGCGTTTATTCATGTTTGGCGATCGCGGGCGTTATGAAGGGGGGGACGGGGCGGGGGGGGGATAACTAAAGTAACGCCCCCCCCGCCGTGTGGCTCCGGCACCACACCCGCGCCCGCGGGCACGACGACGATGAGCGACGAGCGACGAGCAACGAGCGACGACGACGACGTCGACGACGACGACGCGAACAGCATATGTGTGGCGACCTGCCCACGGCGCCTGTGTACACCACAATGCTCGCGTGCACCACGGCGCGCGTGTACACCACAGTGCCTGCGTACACCGCAACAGCCGTGTGCTACGCACCGCCTGTGTACACCACAGTGCTTGCGTGCACCACAGCGCGGGTGTACATCACAGCGAATGTGTAACACCGCAGCAACAATGTCTAACACAGCGCCTGTGTACACCATAATTTTTGCGTGCACCGCTTCGCCTGTGCACACCACAGCGCCTGTCTACACCACAGTGCCCGCGTGCACCACAGCGCGCGTGTACACCACAGTGCCTGCGTACACCGCAACAGCCGTGTGCGACGCAGCGCCTGTGTACACCACAGTGCTTGCGTGCACCACAACGCCGGTGTACACCACAGCGAATGTGTAACACCGCAGCATCCATGTGCAACACAGCGCCTGAATACACGACATCGCTTGCGTGCACAGCAGCGCTTGTGCACACCACAGCGCCTGTGTACACCACAGTGTTCGCGTGCACCACAGCGCGCGTGTACACCAGTGCCTGCGTACATCGCAACAGCCGTGTGCGACGCAGCGCCTGTGTATACCACAGTGCCGATGTACACCAAAATGCTTGTGTGCACCGCACCACTTGTGCACACCACAGTGCCTGCGTGCACAGGACAGGTCGAGCGAGCATGTAGGTGAGGATCTGCTGCGGACAGCTAAACGCAACGCCAGAAAAGTGCTGATAATTGAATGCGGCGTTCTCCCCTCCTCCCTCATCCGCCACCTCCACCTCCACATCCTCCTCCTCATCCTCCTCCGCCTCCGCCTCCTCCTCCTCCACCTCCTCCTCTTCCTCCCCCTCCCTATGCAGATCCCCATGATATTCCCAATGCGGACCAGGCTCCTATGCGGACTTTTATGCGGATGCCGATGGAGATCCGGATGCGCACGGCGGCAGTGCCCGGAGCGCACTGGGGGGGGAGGGGCGTTACGTTATAGGGGGGGCGCCGGGGTTTACCATGCACACGCTCCAAGACTCATCAGCATGTTGGAATGAATCCTCCCCGCAAGGTCCCTCTTCACAGGCCCCTGCAGAAAGGGCCCGTTGGTAGACAACCGTTTGAAGATCCTGAAGCGTGCCAAAACACCATTCGCGGGACTTCAACGCCACGAATCAATCTGATTGTTGCTTCTTGACGATCCTGAGTCGTGCCAGAGCACAGGTTCCTGGGACTTCAACTCCGCGAATCAACGTAACTGTGGCGCCCTGACAATCCTGAATCGTTGCAGAACGCCGTTTCTAATACTTCAACCATGGGTGTCAATGGAACTCTTGCAAATGTTTAAGACGAATGTGCGCGGCGCTACGGCGAGAACCACATCGTGAAAAGGAACCGCCCCCAATCCGAGAAGCTCTTGCAAATGCTTAAAACCAATGTGCCCGGCGCTACGGCGGGAGCCATATTTTCGAAGCGGCATGCCCTCCATCTGTGAAGCTGTCGTCATTTGTGAACTTCAGGGTCGCACATGGAAAAGAAGTCTGCGGCGAAACGCCCTGCCCGCCCTTCCGACTGGCTTCGAGGTCAGGGGGAAATTTCTTATAAAGCAAAGGAGCGGAGGAGGAGGATGAGGAGGAGGAGGTGGAGGAGGAAGAGGATGGGGAGGAGGAGGACGACGACGACGAGCTGGGCTCGCCCCCGGGGGGCCTCGTCCTCCGCGACACCGCAGGTCCTGAGCATCGCAGACCTGAGGGCCATCTCCACCGCCTCCGGAAGGGGGAGGGGGCGGGTTCGGGGGGAGGGGGCCGCCTTCCCGGAGTGGAGGGGGGAGAGCGAAGCAGGGCGCAGGCTGGCGGCCCCGCGGAGACAGGAAGTTGAGCGAGCAGGGGAGGGGGGGAGGCCTCCTGAGAGCACCCCCTCGCCTCTAAGAAAGCGCGCGGGGACTGCATGTTGGTGTGTTGTTGCGTCTTGCCCTGAACAACTTGGCCGTAAGAGTTCCATGTAGCCCCCCACCCCGTGGACCCCATCTTCACACATGCAAGCGCGAGGAACTTCAACGAAGATGCTAAATTCGATGTTGACGCAGATGCGAACGAATATGAAGAGGAGCAGGAGGATTTGGGAAACGGAGGAGGAAGGCGGGGGGGAGAGAGAGAGAGAGAGAGGGAGAGAGAGAGGGAGAGAGGGGTCGGAGGAGGGACTTCCCTTCGCGCGAGGAGATGTGGGGGCAGTCACACGGATTCCCCCCCCTGCCTGGGGTCCCGAAAATCTAAGACTATTGTGGCAGTCGCACATGTGTATATATATATATGTATATATATATATATAACCGCATGCCGATGATAATAAAGGGACCCCCCCCCTTCAGTGTTTAGAGTTGATTATCGTCGCCCTATACAAAATTCAAATTGGGCGGCGAGCGCTGAGGCCGAACTTCATTATCACCTCGAAACGCTATGTTGAGATAGCAACATCAAGCGATGTTGATATAGCAACATCAAGCGAAGCGATCACACTTTTTCAGGATGTGTCAAGCGAAACCAATAATTTTGGGAGGCAGACTCAAACGAAACGAGCAATGTTCTTATTATTATTCTACTTTCCTCTTCTTCTTTTATATTTCTATCTGTCCTCACGCTCGCCTGAACTTTTTTTATCCCTGGGGTTGATTATCCATGGAAAATGAAGCACATGAGCTACCCTACACGAGCACTTAAAAACATCAATTTTCATAAAGCGTTTGTAAATTAAAATTGATAGATTTGGAACTTTGGATTTTTCCTTTCTTCGTCCTCTTCTTATTCTCCTCTTCTTCTTCTTTCTTATTATTCTTCTACTGTATTCTTCTTCTTTTATATTTCTCTCTGTCCCCACGCTCGCCTGAACTGTTTTATCTCTGGGGTTGATTATCCATGGAAATTGAGGCACATGAGCTACCCTACACGAGCACTTACAAAAAAACAATTTTCATGAGAGATAAGCCATTGTTGAGGATATTTCTATGAAAACTAAACGCCAAGGATGTCTCAAAACGTGCTCGGCTTGGTCTCCTCTTGATCATCTCTTACTTCGAGATTATGTTGAGGTCTGCTGGGCTACTTTTACTATCTCTCCCTGAACCCCGAACTTTATTATCCCCTAGTGTTTATTCTCACGGGCATGAGGTTAAGTGTATCGGAGGTTGGGGGGTGAGATCGAAGTGCAACGGAGAGCCCCCTACCGGGAAATCGATATCGGTCTCGTGTTCGTGAGTGCCGTGCGTGCGGGCGAAGCGAAGCTCTGTGGGCGGGCGAGAGGAAAGTCTCCTGTGGCTGAGGCGCGGCCGGACCAAATGTTTGGCGACCTGGCCTTCGGGGCCGCGCGGTGTCCCGCCGCTGTCCCGCCGGTGTCCCGCTGATGTCCCGGTAAGTATCCTGTGGCGGAAGCGCGGCTGGACCAAATGTTTCCCGACGGGCAAACGGGGCCGCGCGGTGTCCCGCCGGCGTCCCGCTGGTGTCCCAGTGTCCCGCTGGTGCGAAAACGATATTGAAACCGATAGTGGGATCGATTGTGAAATGGATAGTGAGATCGATAGTGAGATCGATCGAGTGAGATCGATGGTGAGATCGATTGTGAGATCGATTGTGAAATCGATAGTGAGATCGATCGAGGGAGATCGATGGTGAGATCGATTGTGATCGACAGTGGGAGCGATACTGGGATCTATGGTGGGATCGATTGAATAAGATCGATAGTGAGATCGATCGAGTGAGATCGATAGAGGGATATATAGTGAGATCGATAGCGATATCGATGGAGTGATAGCGATGGTGAAATCGATAGTGACATCGACGGAGTGATATCGATAGTGAAATCGATAGTGGGATCGAAAGCGAAATCGGGAGTGATATCGACAGTGATATCGATCGAGTGAGACCGATCGTGAAATCGATCGAAGGATATCCATAATAAGGTCGATGGTGAGATCGACCGTGAGATCGATAGTGAGACCGATAGTGAGATGCAAATCGAAATGCAGATCGAAAAGCAAGCCGACATGCACTTCGATAAACAAATGCAAATGCAAATCGTCAGGCACATCGACATCCCGTGCTGTATGCTGTGCCAAGAGCGAGCGGCAACGCAACAATCTCCCAACGCTCCCAGTACGAACGTTGGCGGAACAAGCTCTTAAGGGTCGCTCCAAGAAGCTCCCGGGAGGCCCCAAGAGGCCCCCAAGAAGCCCAAAAAGGCTCCCAAGAGGCCCCCAAAAGGCCCCCCAGGAGGCCCCCAAGAGCCCCCCAAGGGGTCCAAAAGACGAGCCCAAATGGCCCCCCAAGCCCTTGCAAAATTAACGAAATGATTTGTTATTCCGTTGGTTCCCAGGGGGGGGGGGGGGATGGTACCAAGGCGCCCAAGAGCGAAGGGTGACGTAAACAACTCGACACCAAGGCTCCCAAGAGCGACGTGCAACGCAACAATCTCCACTGGCATCGTCAGAACAACAATCACCACTGTTGCCCATTGCTGGTCTCCTCCCCCCCCTCCTCCTTATCACCCGCAGGGTGGTCGTATAGGTGTGTGTGTGTTTATATATATATATATGTATATATACATATATATATATACACACACATATATATGTATGCATATTTACACACTAGAACCATCGCGCGCACTTCGCGCGCGCTCAGGTTCTAGCTCAGGCTGGGGGCGCGCTAGAAGATCTTGGACAGCGCTATCAAGCACAGGCGCGTGACAGAGTCGTGCCTCCTGAGGGCCTCTTGGGAACCTCTTGGGTCTTCGTGTGGGCATATGAAGGGCTTCTGGGGGGCTCTCCGTGCTTCCTCAGCTGGTTGTTGGAGGCACTTCCTGGGTGCTTCTCAGGGGGGCATCTTGGGGTCTCTTGGGGTCCCTTGGGGGCATCGTCAGGGTTCTCCGGGCAGTCGGAAAGTGATGTTCTGCAGTCTGAAGCAGTCAATTGGCTGTCTTGGCTGCGTGGAGGCCCGGCTTGAGGCCACACTGGGGCAATCCGGAAGCCTCCTGGGGCCTCCTTGAAGCAATTTTGCTGCATCGAAAACACTGTTCGGCTATCTTGGGGCCCCGTGTACGTCTCCTGTGAGCATGTTGGGGCCTGGTGGGGGGCTTTGGGGGGCCTCGTCGGACCAGTTGGGGACTCTTGGGGCCTCCTGTGGGCGGAAAGCTCTGCTGTTGGGTTCGCGTTCCCCTTCTTCGGGTTTTCTTGGGGCCCTCTTGGGGCGCTCTCGGGCCGTCTTGGGCGCCTCGGGCACCGTCTTGGGGCCCTCGTGGGCCGTCTTGGGGCCCTCCTGGAAGCCTCTTCGGCTATCTTGGAGCGGCCGTGGGGCCACTTGGGCCGTCTTCGAGCGTCGGGATGCCAAAAGGCTGGGAACAGCTCCGCCAGGAACCGCCGCGGCAAGGCGCACCGCCTCCACGGCGGGCGCCGCGCGGCGCGCGGGGAGCTGGTCGGCCCAGCTGTCGTCCTGCAGGGGCGAGGTCGGGGCCACGACGCCCTCGACCTGCGAGCCCGCGGCAGAAGCAGGCGAGGGCGGCGGCCCGCCCAAGCGGCGGCAGCAGCAGCAGCAGGCTGCTCGGCCGCAGCGGGTGGCGAAGGCCGCACCAGGCCGTCGGCCCAGGCGTCTTCGAACATCGCGTTGTCGTCAGCGGCCTCCACGGCGGCTCGAACAGGCCGAGGGCCGCTCCAGCAGCAGCACCAGGACCCGTCACGACTGCGGCGCCCTCAAACGCCGCGCCAGCAGCAGGGAACGCCTCCGCGGCACGCCGCTCCGCGAGGCGGCGGCGTCTGCGCCTCCGCCGCTCCGCCTTGGCCGCGGAGGCGGCAGGCGGTGCAGCAGGAGGCGCGCGAGCATCAGGGGCAGCAGCAGCGTCACGCGCGGCCGCCGCCGTCGGCGCGTCCCCGCACGCAAAAAGCGTGGCGGAGATAGCCGACCGCGCGACGGCGGCGACAGTGCGCCGCGGCGCCCCAGCGGCGACCGCGGCCCAGACGGCGGCCTCGACCAAGGAGGCGCCGAGCTGGGCCGAGGGAGCCCCTGCTAGGCCCCGACAGTCCGCAGCCGCGCCTCGCCGAAGAGGGAGCGCGCGCGGGCGAGGCCATGCAACCGCTTGAGCCAAAATAGCTATGGAGACTGGCGCATAAACGCATATCGCAGTCGACGTTGCGGGCAGGATAATGAACCAAGATGGTATACGCTGTCTGCGCGGTGCGCTGATGGCACCGTGAGCGGCCCAAGCATCATAGGGCCTCGCAGACCTGCTCTGCTTGTTCTGCGCGCGCCAAGACAGGGCCTTCCATGGCGACACCGCTGGCGAGGGCCGTCAACAAGGTGCCCCCCAACGCAGTGCCCAGCAGCAGCATGCCATGAACCTCGCGTCGCATGCGCGTCAAGACGGCGGGCTACGGCAGACGGCGCCTGGCCCGACGCAGCCAGGGCCAGGAACGTGACTGCGCTCTAGTGGCCACGCATCCTACGGCCACGGTGCGCCAGGCGGTCATCCAGGACCTCGGCGCCGATGATGTCCGCGTCCCCGGCGCAGTCGTCGGCAACGCTGGCGACGACGACCTCGGGCAACGCCAGAAAAAGGCCACTGCCGCAGACGCCCCGCATGGCGTCAGCGATGCCAAGGTGGACATCAGCTGCACCAGGCGTGAGCCCTGGATGCCGCCACGCCACGTGGTGTGCTGCACCCAGGCGCCCCCGCTTTCCCGTCGCAGCGCGGCAGATGTGATCCGCACGCGCGTCGGGGCGACA